AGACCCCTTAGCCAAAAGCTAGGCTCATAGCTAGCAAACGCTGCAGCCGTGGCGGGAACTTCTCCCACCTCTGCAGCAGCACTAAGGATGTTCAACTGTCAAACATCCCCCAAGGGCTCCCAGACTGCAAGAGGGTGCAGGCCGGGCTGAGGGACCCCCTCCCCCTGCCCCCAGTGCATAAATTTCATGCACCAGGCCTCTAGTAGGTTACAATAGTAATATCATTCCATCTTTTAAATAGTGACTTGTAATGTTTCAATTCTCCTAACTTCTTAGTTCAGGAGTGCAGCTTTTTATTTTTATGTAAAAACAAACCCTTATAACATTTTACTCCATTTACTTACCTGATGTTTTTGATACCACTGGATAGCTTGTGTGAAGACCTCAATGGCGCTATCAATATCTTCCTCATGGCTGTACATAGTTACTAATGCAGATACCTACCCAGCGAAAAGTATAAATTAGTGAGTAAAATTTCTCCTTCTCTCCCGGAGTAAGCTTTTTCAAAATGAAAAACATTGAAGAATCGGCAGATAAAGGCTGCTAGGCTCTCTCTACCAGAATCTAATTCATCATAAAAATTACTATATTATGGGGTATAATAACTAGAAATACCATGAACAGCAGTGCTTTCCAAATACAAAGTTATCTATAAAATATACCTTTCCTCTAAAGCAGTGCCAGTTCACAAAATTACCAGTCTGCAAGGTAAGAAGTTGAGAATAAGCACGTGGGAAATTAGTTCATATGTAAGACACTGCAGGGGCATCCAAGTACATGGTCAGTGAGGTACACACACGCACGTGGCTAAACTCCCATGATGAGTCACATGTGGCCTAAGCTACAGAAAGCCAGTGAAAAGCTTGCCTACTGTGTTTGAGGGATAGCAAAGAGGCCCATGTGGCTGGAATGGAGTGCAAGGGGAAGAGCAATAGGAGATGAGGACAGAAAGGACAAACAAAAAGCTGGAATTTTGAGAAAAATCAATAAAACGGATAAACCTCTGGTGATATTGATCAGAAAAGAAAAAGAAAAAAAAGAGAGAAGATATGACTAACCAATTACCATAAACAAAAGGTTTCACAGATACTAACAGGATAAATTGGGAATATTTGAACAACTTTTATGCCAATAAAGCCAATAACCTAAATGAAATAACTAAATTTCTTGAAAGATACCAGAAAGTCAGATTTTAAATATTAGAAACCTTTTATTTTCAACTATATATACTATTTGATTCTAACATAAAATAACTGCAGCCAAGGCTTTACAATATGAACCTTCAAATACTATTACACATTTTTTGAGTTCCAATTGTAAAAGCTGTGTGAGAGAATACAAGCATGTATAAAACACTCCTAGTTTAATAAATGCACAGACCACCACTATAGAATAAGTCTTTACTTCAAAGATCTAAATCTGATGCTGGGATAATCAGAGAACTAAAAACTAAATTTATTGGCCACTATTCCTAAATTATTTTACCTCAAAGAAATCATACTGAGGACAAAATAATTTAGGCTAAGAAATTCCATATATGGATTTTAGGTTATTTAAGGTTGGCTCTCAGTGGTAATATAAGGCCTAAATAGTACCTGGCACATCTGACTAAATAACAAACAAGTGCAAAGCAGAGCACAAAATGAAATTAAATTTATACCAGAAAGTTACTGTTACTATTTTTTAAAATATATTTTTATTGATTTCAGAGAGGAAGGGAGAGGGAGAGGGAGAGAAACATCGATGATCAATGAGAATGATTGATCAGCTGCCTCCTGCACCCCCCACACTGGGGATCAAGTTCGCAACCAGACATGTGCCCTGACCAGGAATAGAATCCTGACCTCCTGGTTCACGAGGAGACACTCAACCACTGAGCCACGCCAGCTGGGGCTACCGTTATTATTTTAACTATTATATATATAGAAATAGGCAGAAATTAATTGAATACAAAAAGCATCAAACATACCAATGGACTATTAATTCCATTACTTTTTCAGTTGTATGAGATTTTAGTTATAAACTCACCATGCCTGGTTTATGCTTTAATTCCTCTATGCTTCTCAAGATTAGACATGCTTTGGAAATATTACCTTAAGAAATGAAAGACAAGAGCAGCCATCACAATGAAGAAAGCATATTATGAAAAGAAAAAAAAAAGACAAGAAATTTAAGAGTCATGTTTTATAACATTTCTAAATACTCAAGCTTTGGAATCTTGAGAATAATGTACTCTATTCATTTTACAAATAAAAAAATTGAGTCTTAGGCCTTGAAATATGTTACTATAGATATGAGTGCAATGGAAACTTTCCTAAGGTGTTAAAATTCTGACTTTCTACTCACTGCAAACCTAAATAACTAAAGCCTTTAAAAACAAAACAAAAACCACTGGCAGGTATTCTCTCTCAGTAATTTTAGTATGATAATCTTTGCAAAAATAAAACCACCTGGGGGAGAGATCAACCAAAGGACTTGTATGCATGTATATAAGCCTAACCAATGGGCACAGACAACAGGGGGGTGAGGGCATGAGCGGGGAGGGGGGTTTGGGGCAAGGGGAGGATAAGGACGTATATATAATACCTTAATCAATAAAGAAAAATTAAAAAAATAAAACTGAATGAGGAAAGAAGATAAAGAAGAGAGTAAGAAAAAGAAAGAGAGGTGGGAAAAGGAAAAAGAAACTAAAAGGTAAGCAAATCTGAGAATAAGGTAACAGGGAGACTAGCAGTGTTTCTCAACCTTGTTTTCATTAGTACCCCACTAAGGAGTCTTTTTACACATTTCCCCCCTAATTGCCAACTAACTTCCTCACCCTCTACCCATAAAATTTTCACTTTAGCCATCATAAAATCCAATATCCAAATCAATTATCATCCCCACTGAGAATGCACACTGTACACCAGAGCTGTCTGATAAAATTTTCTGTGATGATGGAAACATCCTATATATTATTCTGTCCAACTAGCCACATGTGGCTACGAAGCTTCTAAAATGTGGCTAGCACAACTGAGAAACTGAATTTTAAATTTCATTTAATTTTAACCTAAAAGAGCTACATTCATATAGGGGCAACCAAATATGGTCAATACAGCTCTAGATAATCACTCAAGGTTGGTTCAAAATTATGAACAAAAACACTAACAGTTTTCTGTAAGAACCAAAAATACCAGTTTTCGCCGAAACCGGTTTGGCTCAGTGGATAGAGCGTCGACCTGCGGACTGAAAGGTCCCAGGTTCGATTCCGGTCAAGGGCATGTACGTGGGTTGCGGGCACATCCCCAGTAGGAGATGTGCAGGAGGCAGCTGATCGATGTTTCTCTCTCATCGATGTTTCTAACTCTCTCTCTCCCTTCCTCTCTGTAAAAATCAAAATATATTTTTAAAAAAATATATCAGTTTTCATTAAATTTACTTGCTTCTATCCCCCAAAGATATGAGTTGTAAAGCATAAATAAAGGATAAAGGCCTAAGCTAAAAGATTCTGAGAACTAGGATGGCAAAGTAACCCTTATTTCATGCAAACACTACCAAGTGCCAGATATAAGTATTTCTATACACCACATACCCAGGAAATTTGAGTCACGTACGGTCTTTCGGAACAGAGAAATCCTTTGCTTCTACAGACTTTCAAGGCATAGACTGAGAATCATTCTGACAATTTAGTAATCACCCAAGAAAAGGCCAATTAACTCACTAAGTCTGTTGGAGCTCATACCTCTAGCTTCATGTTTGAAACAACAATAATTATGCTTCACCATTATGCAAAAATTTTAAACTCACAGTCAACTACTTCGGAATCATTCCAAACATATATTTCCATTAAAACTATATTTTAGTCATGATGAAATCATCATTAATACCTTGGGAAATTTTCAGTTGTGCCATGGTCAGCTTAATTTCGGCTGCATTTTCTGGATGCTGATCTGAAAATTCCTAAACATTTTTTAATTGGGGGGAAAAGATCACATTTTATTTATACAACTCATTGCACACATTCCAATTACTTATCTTAGCTACATAAAAATTTAAATCTAGTTTCAAAATATTAAACTTCTTGGTTTAAAGTCCAACTTTTATTTTGGAAAAATTTTACCCGGCACCCACTGTGCTTTAAAATTATGCTCTGAAAAGAAGAGCAATAATGTCAAGTTTCCAGAGAGTCTCTAAAATAAATAATTAAAACTACTACATAATATTTTTTAAGATCCTCAAATAATGATACCTCCTTACTGGGTCCCTGGCTAGACAACTTTGCCCCTCAGGATGGTCCTAATTTTACCCTGTCCAACTTTCCAATGTATTCTACCCTCAGGAAATTAAAAAATAACCTAACAGCTGACTTAGGCTGATAAAAAACTAAGGATTTCTGTAATTATTTGAGGTTAGATTGGGACTTACTGGAGAATATGTTATTGAAAAAAGGTTCAAGCATGTTCTGGTATTATAAGCCTAAAACAAACCCTTAACTAGTTAAATAGATCTAAAAATAAAAACATTCTTTAGGGTTTATGACAAACATATACTAATGCAAATGTATATAAAGCAAAGCTGTAGCCCAAGAATTAACTAAAGTGTCACAAGAATTAACTAAAGTGTCTAGAAGTATATTACCTATTAGTTTACCCATATTTACAAGCTTTTATACATAATGAAAATGAAAAAAGGCTGCAACTATCCGACACCTCATTAAAAATTCAAGTATTTCCTTTACCTGAAGCAGCTCTATAGCTTTTACGTGCTGCTTTTCACGACAGAACTGTGCAGCTTGGATTAACACAGGCAGGAGACGCTCAGGGCTTTGGGACTGTAAACTGGAAGATATTTTTCGGCATTGTTCTGCCTAAAAAACAATATTTCCCCAAATAAGCTGGTTAATGAAATTAAACATTAAGTGAGCGACCAAAAAGAAAAAAAGGATGTAGGAAGGGGAAAGGAAATCAGCTGAAATAAAACAGTAAGTAAAAAACTGCCTAGGGTGAGAGATGTAGTTTATAGTATCTATTCTCAATTTTTTCTTTTAAGGAAAAGATTTCAATTTACTGAATTTAAACTATGAGTTTTAAAAGCAATTAGGAAAGGAAGAGTTATTAAACATTAATTTGGATGCTTAAATTCAGAATTTTGTTTTAAAAAATACATCAAGTATAAGCCTTTGTTTCAAAACAACAAAATAAATATGTATTTCTTGCTAAAATATTTTAGAATAATTTAACTCAGTTCTAAATAATAAAAATGTTACTGCCTCTCACTCTCACTGAACACCTCTGCTTCCTAAAGCAGGACTCTCAGAACAGCACTGTTAATTTCTGTATTTAGATACAATAAGAATAGTATTAATATAATGAAACTATAAGACTAATAATAATATAGCTCTCCAGAACAGGTCTCTAGGTAGAGGATCAACAACTGGCAGGCAAGGATCTATGAAACGATGGCAGACTTCTGCATTTCAATGATTCACTGAAAAACTTAAGGACAATTTCTTTGTGCTACTACAAAAGGATGATAAGCGGTGCCATATTCACAGTCCTGGCTGACAAAATATGCTCTCCCTTGGGATCAAAGGCAGAAATGTTTATCAGCTCTTTTATTAAAAGACTAGAGGCCTGGTGTACGAAATTCATGCACGAGTAGGGTCCCTAGGCCTGGCAGGCGATCAGGGCTGATCGGGCCTTCGGCTGATGACTGGGGCCTTCCTTCCAGCTGCCAGCCAGGGGCATCCTTCATTCTGCGCCGCCCCCTGTTGGTCAGCGTACATTGTAGCGAGCGATCAAACTCACAGTATCCCAGTCAAACTCCGAGGGGACACTTTGCATATTAGGCTTTTGTATATATAGATAGGTTAAAAACAAGAGAGCTTGGAAGATAATACATCTGCCTCGTTGGGGTGCCTATGCTCCTAAGATACATATAAATTTGTTTTGGGTTCTTGCTTTTCTTTTGTTTTATATTTCCACTAGTACATGCTTGTTTTGAGCTTTTTAAGTGTTTTTATTGATTTTTAGAGAAGGGAAAGGGAGAGAGAGATAGAAACATCAACCAGCTGCTTCTTGCATGCCCCCTATTGGGGATGGAGCCTGACACCTGGGCATGTGCCCTGAGTGGAATCAAATCAGTGACCTCTTGGTGCATGGGATGACACTCAACCATTGAACCACACTGGCTGGGCTGCTTTGAGTTTTAGGAAGAAAAGTACACAGGGGTAGCACAAATCTTGCAGCAGAAATTAGGACTACAATATTATCTAAATTTACAAGTTCTACAAATTATGCCCTTTAGAATTTAGATGACAAATGAAAGTAACTCATTCCTCTTTTGAAATACTATCATGTGTAAGCAAATCATTAAAATTCAGAAATATATTCACACCTCTCTTGAACCCATTTTAACAAAAAATACTAATGTAACATAGCTATTGTTTTCTCTTTTCTTAAAGTCCTCTCACCTGGGCAGAGGTACAAAGAAGCTGAATTTCTGTGAGGAGCAAACACAATGTTATCTGCCTAAAGAAAGTCATACTTTTCAAGGAAGGAAGATAATTAAGACACACTCCATCCTAAGAAGGACAAGCTGAGCATCAGAGTGTCTACTATGTGCACAGTATTCTAGTTCTGCTAAATGATATAGTTATTTGCAAATAATTGATACTGTGCTTTTTAAGCTAGGTCTTCTAGCAGTTTAAAGACTAAAAGGAGGCAAAGAAGAAATCTAAAATAAATTCTACTTTTTCTGAATGTGAAGCTCCAAACCAATGAAATTACTTTAATGTACAGCAAGAAAATGGCTTTCATATAAATCAGTCCTCAAAAAACCGTATTTCTAGTTGGTCTTCCTATAACACTACTTTAATATTTTATCATGCCTGCCACTGCCAGATTTCTCTTAAACTTTGCTATCAGGGCACTTATTATTCAACATTTTAATTTTCAAGGCCTCCCACCTTGATATCATTCACTCTAACCGACTCTTTTTTACATACTAGCCAGTATGTATATATGTATGCATGTACATACAAGAGGAGAGAGGTGCCATGAAGGGCTAGAAGGAGCAAGCATTGGAATCAGAGACTAGAATCTGAATCCAAGTTCTACCTCTTACTAGCTGTGATCTTATACAAATTATTTAACTCCTTTCAGCATCAGATTATACTCCTATAAAATGGAAATACTTATTGCCATGTAAAACAATAATTGAGGATAAAATAAGATGGCACTTGAAAAAAAAATCACACAGCATATCAAAAACCCCTACAAATGTTACTGTTAGTTTCTATTAACCTGAATTTCAAATCTCCCCAAAAATAAAAGCCACTGGAAAGAAAAATATTCTCTACAGAAAACTCTGAGACTCACTAGATGAAAGTATCATATAAAACATGCATACATACAGTACAAAAGTCCAAACATTTTACTTTTCTAAGAAACAGATTGTCCGTATTATTATAAACTAAGAAAATAGTAAGATTTTAAAGTCCAGGATCTGTAACTACAAAAAAGTTTTATTACTTGAATATACTTTGCATAATCATCATCATTATGAGTTAAGTAACTCACTATTGTGATTTGCTGTAATTTCGGTCATAGAAAAAAAAACACAACCTACTTATCCTAGAACAAAGCCAATGAATATGCTTTCAGCTTAAAATATAAGTGTAGGGATAGGCATGCATATTTCCTACCTTGTTAATGGTAATGATGTTATTTGCAATCACAGCTAGCAATCCCACATCTGTTGGCCTGTGAACAATAAGCAAGTCAAAAAGGAACAAACCTTTAAAAAGAAACCTCCTCCCCTATAAAAGACACTTCATTTTAATAACTCACTTTAGTTTTATTATCTGATTGTAAAGTTGCAGAGCCTCCTCTGTACGACCCTGAAGCTGCAGAATATAGGCCATCTGCCCGTGAATGATGGCCAGTTCTGCCTGTGGGTCTTCCTCAGTCCCATCCTAAGCGGAAGAAGAAACGTTTTTCCCCCTGTAAATTCTCCAAATTGCTCCACATATTTACTAAGTGACCCAAACATTCAAAAGGTACAAAATCCTAAGTAAGACATAGGAATTTTCACTTAGATTCAGTTTGTTAAAATTTAGGGATTGCCACCAAGAGGAAAGTTTACAAAATCCTAACTAATTATCACCATACAAAGAGCTTCAAAAGCAGAAACTAACTGTATTTAAAGCAGCAGCTCTCTTAACTGACACTCCAGACCAATCCATATTCTCCATTCCTCTGGAAAAGTTGACTGATATGCTTACATAAAATGAATGCTCAAGGGTAGGGGGCTGTTCTTTTTTACCACACCCAGCACTCCTGCTCTCACCTGGTGAATGTATGCTGACTAGTGGTCAGATGTGTTTGCTTCTAATCCCATTATGCCAGTTATGTTAGACAAGCAAATGGTAAAACTTAATTATCATAAGAGGAGAACTATGAGTGTGAAAGGGGACTCATTTCAATAAAAACTATGTTGAATGCTCAGAAGTATTTGATAAAAGTGGGTTCCTAAAGAAAATTATTGTCTAATTAGACATGAGCCAGAAAACGGTAAGACAGTGAAAAAGTTAACATTTACAAGGACTGTAACAAAATTACTTCACAATTGTCTTTAAATTAGTGCTGCATTTAAAAAACAAAACTGGAAATGGAATCATGAATGCTGGATTATGTAAGATATATGCACAAAATTCCTATGAATAGACCCAGACTCAAAGACTTGAGCCCTATATTTAAATAGCAGAATTATTTTATATTTATGTGAATTTAAAATAAAACAACTTTTGTATTGTCATTTCTCACCCTAAGAGATGCCTTCAAATAATTGATCAAGAGGTTTTCTACTGTGATTCCTATTCAGTGACTCACCATCTATTCAAAAAAGTCAATGGATACTATAACGAAGCCCCCTACAAATTTATATTAGTCAGAAGTGTAAAATTTTGGGTTTTTTTTAATATATATTTTATTGATTTTTTACAGAGAGGAAGGGAGAGAGATAGAGAGTTAGAAACATCGATGAGAGAGAAACATCGATCAGCTGCCTCCTGCACATCTCCCATTGGGGATGTGCCCGCAACCCAGGTACATGCCCTTGACCGGAATCGAACCTGGGACCTTTCAGTCCGCAGGCTGACGCTCTATTCACCGAGCCAAACCGGATTCGACTAAAATTTTGGGTTTAACAACAGTGGAATACTTACAGAATCTTCTGATAATGAACGGCGGCAAAGATCTATAGGAAAAAATAGTTTTAAAATTAACAGTGCTGGGTAACTCGCATTCCTTTCACCATTCTAAAGAGCAAGAAGATATCAAGATAATTTTAATAACAAGTTAATTTGAAATTTATCATTAGCATCAACTATAACAGATATTATTCCCTTATTATTCTAGCTCTTGGACACTTTTCATTCATTTGTAATCTCTATGTTTAAAAAATCACTTAAAGGGTATTAAAATATTAATATTGATTACAAAAAATCAATTTCAGAAAAGTATAAAGACAATAATCCCACCACCTGAAGATAATAACTATTAGCATTTTAGTTATTGGATTTTTTTTTAATGTAAACGTACAGCTGCGTTTTAAAATGAAAGTGGGATAGTCTACACAATATTTTGAAATCTTCCCCCATTTAATATACTATGGACATCTTTATATTATAATAAATATAGGTCCACATTTTTATTTTTTTTAACATTATAATTTTTAATGACTACATGGTGATCTCTTTGGGTGTTATAGTAAGACCTAACCAGTGCTCTAATAGAACAGAAACCCAAGATGACTATAAATTTTTTTCTTAGAATATCTCTTCAAATAGTATTCATACAGATACATATATGAACTTATCTAACTATTTCCTTAAGATAAATTTCTAGAAATAAAATTCTTGGATCAAAGGATATGCAAATTTTAAAATGAGTTAAGACCAGACATAAGTTTTCTAATACATCATTTTCTTTTTCTAATTAAAAGCTTCAATGAAACTAGACCACCTTCTCACACCATATACCAGAATAAACTCAAAATGGACTAAAGACTTAAAGTGTTAGACTTGAAACCATAAAAATCCTAGAAGAAAACATAGACAGTAAAATCTCGGACATTTTTCATAGCAGTATTTTTCCTGGTATATCTCCTTAAGCAAGGGAAACAAAAGAAAAAATAAACAAATGGGACTACACCAAACTAAAGTTTTTGCACAGCAAATGAAACCATCAATAAAATGAAAAGACAACCCACTGAATGGGAGAACATATTCACCAATGATACATCTGGTAAGGGGTTAAAATCCAAAATTTATAATGAACTTAGAAAACTCAATGTCAAAAAAACCCTAAATAATCCAATTAAAAAATGGGCAAAGGACCTGAATAGACAATTCTCTAAAGAGGACACAGACATATGAAAAGGTGTTCAAGGTCACTAGTCATCAGAAAAATGCAAATTAAAACCATAATGAAATATCACCTCACACCTGTCAGAATGGCTATCATCAATAAATCAACAACCAAGTGTTGGCGAAGATGTGAAGAAAAGAGAACCTTCATGCATTGCTGGTAGGAATGTAGATCAGTGCAGTCACTGTGGAAAGCAGTATGGAGTTACCTCAAAAAAATAAAAAATTCCACTTCTGGGAATATATCCGAAGAAATCCAAAACACTAATTTCAAAGAATACATGCACCCCTATGCTCACTGCAGCATTATTCACAACAGTTAAGATTTGAAAGCAGCCCAAGTGCCCATGAGTAGAAGAGTGGATAAAAACGCTGTGGTACATTTACACAATGGAATACTACTTAGCCATAAAGAAAAGAAATCTTACCCTTTCAACAGCATGGGTGGACCTGGAGAGCATTATACTAAGTGAAATAAGCCATCAGAGAAAGACAAGTACCATGATTTCACTCATATGTGGTGGAATCTAATGAACAAAACGAATTATCAAGCAACACAGAGACAGACCCATGGACAGAGAGCAGGCTAACAGCTACTGCGGGTGGGGGTGGGACTTTGGGAAAAGGTTGAGGGATTGAAATAAGAAGAAAAACTCATGGACATAGACAACAGTGTGGGGATTGCTGGGGAAAGGAGGATTGAAGAAGGGTATGGGGCATTAACTGGTAATTATAAAAGGAGGCTTGACTTGACGTGGTGAACACACAGTACAGTGCACCCAAAACCTGTATAATTTTGTTAATCAGTGTCACTCCAATATTCAATAAAAAGGAAAACAAATTTTAAAATGCATGGAATATTAAAAATAAATAAAATAATAAAGTGTGTGAAGTTTAAAAAACATCTTTTTTTTAAAAATATATTTTATTGATTTTTTACAGAGAGGAAAGGAGATAGAGTTAGAAACATCGATGAGAGAGATACATCAATCAGCTGCCTCCTGCACATCTCCCACTGGGGATGTGCGCGCAACCCAGGCACATGCCCTTGACCGGAATCGAACCTGGGACCCTTCAGTCCGCAGGCCGACACTCTATCCACTGAGCCAAACCGGACTCGGCTAAAAAACATCTTTTAAAAGGGCTTAAACACGTAAATATTGTATATGGAAAGATTCTACATGAAGTGAAAATGTGTTTGAATAGCTTTATCAATGTATAAATATAGTGTGTGTGCATACATACACACATAAGGCACATCATATTATTATTATACTCGATATACTTGAGTACCTGTTTAATAACAATAACTAATATTTACTGAATGCTTATATTATACTAGACCCAGTGCACGAAATTCACGCACTTGGCAGGGGGAAGGGTCCCTCAGCTCAGCCTGCACCCTCTTGCAATCTGGGAACCCTTGGGGGTGTCTGACTGACGGGGGATGCCCGACTGACACAGGCCATCAGTCGGACATCCTTAGCGCTGCTGGGGAGGCGGGAGAGGCTCCCGCTACTGCCGCTGCACTCGCCAGGCGTGAGCCCAGCATCTGGCTGAGCGCTCCACTGTGGGAACGCACTGACCACCAGGGGGCAGCTCCTGCATTGAGCGTCTGCCCCTGGTGGTCAATGTGCATCAAAGTGACCAGATGTTCCGCCGCTTGGTCTATTTGCATATTAGCCTTTTATTATATAGGAGGATTCCATGTACTAATTTAAGTGCTTGACATTAATTAACTCAATTTACATTTAACTTGTCTAAAAACCTCTTCCTCAAAATTCATATTTAAAGATCCAGTGTGGTTGAAAATGGACAAGTAATATGACTTATGAATTAGACAGAAACAGAGAAGAGATATTCTCAAAAACCCAAGAGAAAAAGCTAGAACCTTGAGAAATTCCCACCTTAAAAACATCAAGAAAGTCAAGTGCAGTTTTTGTAAATACTTTGCAAAGCTGTATGTACATTACAATTATAAATGATTTTAATAAATTTCCAACCTTCAGCTTTTTGTAGGATTTTCATTGCCTGACTCAGTTGGCCTTGTCCTATCAGTGCACATGCAGCATTGTAGCAGAGTTCATGTGTGCCTTCTTGGAGGCCCAAGTTCTCCTGTCATGGAACAAAATACCAATCAAACACTAGACAGGAATATCATTTCATGGCTGTGTGGGGACTCAGGGATACTTACTGGAACCACTTTTTCCCAGTTGCTTTGAGCTGCAACAACTGCTGAAAGGTTTGTTTTTCTCTCCTCATCATAATCATCTTGGGAGTTTCGGACGAGATCTCTATATACAGCTAAGCATTCATCATAGCGTTCTAGCCGGTATAACTGAAGAGACAAATAACAAGTAAAAAATCAGAGGAGAAGAGAAATATAGTGCTATGTCTCTAACACTATACAAACCCTTTTTGAAACCACTAAGAAGGAAAACGAATTCAGCATAATATCGGCAATCAACCATTTTTCCTTTATAATTTTCCATTTAGCTCCATGTGCTTCTAGTTCTTCCAAAAAGTTACTTGTAATGTATTTCTATTACACTGCAGATTTGCAGGAATCATTCAGCTAGAAACAGTCATTGTAGTTACCTCTTCTTGAGGTTAGGTAAATGCCTAAGTGGGATCTGAAAGAAAACCTTTCTGTAATAGAAATCACCATTACCTAAGTCTGACTTATAATGAAAAAAATTTCCCACAACACAGAACTACTAAACTCCCAAAAACAGGAACAAAATTAGATATTAACAAAAGGACTTAATATTTCCAGTTCACTGTATTTAATCTTCATTTTTCTCTTTCCCAGAAGCCCAGCAATCGTATAGGATAGTATGACATACACATAACATGATTCCTTCTTATTTCACTGAAGTTGTCCTAAAAGACCATTACTGTGAGTCAGTTAGTTCACTATATAAGACAGAGACTGGTGCCCTTTATCAGTCTCAAAGTGCCAGAATTTACCTTACATTGATCCAGCTCACTTTAAAGATTATTTTTACAATCCATGAACTTGCCCAAATCTTTTTTCAATCCATTTATATTTTTAAACTCATATTACCTCTTGGGAACAATACAGTCAATTCCGAATTATTTGTCCTAAATTGACATTTTAAAAATCTTTAAAGAGGGTTTTGCTATTTCTAACATAACATTTCTATCATCTTATCATTAAAAGCCCTATTTTACATTAGGCTTAATTATATGTCTCAAAACATGTAAAAATAAGATATTTTAAAATAAGATATTTTCATGAACCAGCTGAATTTATCTAAATTATCATCATGAGTTTATTTTAAACTTAAAATAGTTAAAAACTAGAATTACAATTTTTAAACTGCTTAAGCATATAAGCTCCTTTCCAACTAAAAAGTCCAAATTTAAGCAAAACAAAAAAAAGCCCAAATTTCACAGGATAGTTCTTAACTTTAAATTACCCTGAGGAAATCACTTGTGCATAGAACATTATATATGCAACTTTTGCATGAAGATTAAGAAGCGGGAATATGTTGAAACCTTAAAAACTAGTTTGGTGGCAAGTTTTGTGGAGCATCAGGTTCCTCATCCGTTCTCCTTGCTACAGGGAGGGTCATGCTCACTCAGGATGGTTGTCAACAGGTATTTAAAAACAGTAATTACCACTTGTCCATAAAGCTCCTTTAGTTTGTCTGTCTGCTGGTTGGCACTTTCTATTGTCTTCAAGGCATTCTCAATTCTGTTCAGCCTATACTCGCAGTATGCCTTCTCAAAAGAAAGAGAGTTACTGAAAAGGAAAAAAAACAATATCTGATTATTAGCTCACATAGCGGAGCACTCACTATGTGCTAGAAACTGCTCCAAGCGTTTGATATATATTATTATTCAATTCCCATTAAAAAGAGATGAGGAAGCTGACAAAGGTTAGTGATTTATCTGAAAGTCAAACAGCTCATTAGTGGCAAAAAATGTTATATCCATTTCCTTAGCCTTTCTTGCTTTCATGGATATTCCTATTAGAATTACTGGCCTTCTGAAATAAACATTTAAGAATGAAATAATGCATCAGCTAAATAATTGTCGCAGGTACACAGACAATCTGAACACTATTTTAAATTATTATAGAAGTTTCTTAAATCTATTTATCAAATAATAAGCCATAATGCTTTTAACTTGTTCAAGGAGTACATGATTAGTAAGAAAAAGTAGCTGGAAATCTTAAAGGAACATAGTATTTGTATCCAAACTGGTAAACACACAACAACAAATACACTACTTAGCATACATAGACCTAAAACTTCATCTACATTAATGTGACACCTGAAACTAGAGTGGACTATAGTGGATGAAATGAATTTTGAAATTTCATCCATAACCGATAAGGAAAAATATGTATAAAAGCAATATCCTTTTACTTACTTGCCTAACAAAAATTATTTCAAGATTTCTCAACCTCACAAAATGGTCAAAACTCAAAATACTGAATTTCAACATAAACATATTTACTAGAAGAAAGCAGTGCTCCTTTATTTCCCCTTTATTTTTAATAGTTTTAAAATAAGTTTTCAATCTGTAATACATGTATTTGGCTCAAATTTTAAAAAAAGGTATACCCTAAGAGGCTTTACTCCCATGGCTTTACAAATCTACCCTGTTCCTCCTTGCCTCCTACAAGTGACTATTTTGTTTGTTTGATTTTTCGTTTGTTTGTTGTTGTTAATCCTTGCCCAAGAATATTTTTCCATTGATTTTTAGAAAGAGTGGAAGAAAGAGGGAAAGACAGAGAGAAACATCAATGTGAGACCAGGGAGGAGCCTGCAAAAACGACTTGCCCTAGATCGGAATCCAACCTGGACCCTTTGGTCCACAGGCCTACACTCTACCCACTGAGCCAAATCGGCTAGGGCTAAAAGTGACTATTTTTACACATTGTTTCTCTAGCTAGTGTTTGCTTTGGCACATACAGAAAAATACACATATAAATTCTAATATCCTCCTTTTCTTATACAATAGGAAGTATACTATATATTGCTCTGCACTTTATAAACCAGAATCTTTAATTAAAGAAATATGCTGCAAACTTCAATACACATTTCTTTTGGGCTTATACACAACTATTTTTAAAAATGAAATTAGAGTAACAATTCAGAGTATAAGTTCACATTTCATGAAAAGATAAATGAGATAAATAAGTGAAAAATATTCACAATAATGATAATACTACCAGTCTCAAGACTGCTGACAGTGAAAGATCTTGGCCTACGATCAAACTCACCTGAACAATTCCCAAAGGAGGTAGGCACAGAAGTCCAGCTAAAACCATCCCAGAGACCTCTACTTATAATACTGCCCTACCACACGTCTGCCCTCTCTGCCCCCCTTTTTTTTAAAAAAATTAAACTCTGCTAAGTTGTTCTCCCTATGTCCTCTGTTACATTTGTGCTCCACATCCCTCCACAATTTACCTCCTTCTTAGTGGTTCTAAGGAAAGATGGAGCAAAGAAAAGGCCAGCAAGGCAGTAAAGAACAAAGTTACTATTACTCCATGCAGTTTCACAGACACAACTGGGAATTAACAGAAAAAAAGAAATAAACAGGTAAAAAAAAATCGCTGAATAGTGGTGAAATAAATAAATGTAGCTATGGTAAAACTGTTTCTAATAACTATACAAGCAACCAACTGAATCACTTACTTGGCTAACACTTTGGTATGAGAACTGATGATGTTCAAGGCTTCCTTGAAACTCCCATTCTGGATAAGGCATACCACTTTACAGTGTAGGGCAGTTACATCATCCTTGTTGACCTGCAGTACTACGAAACAATTTAGGAAAAGAATATTTAAATCTATTCCCTTTTCACATTTTTACTAATTTTTCCCACTCCCTGCCTTAGGAAATTGCATTTCCAATTGTATTGCAGCAAAAATGATTTGTCATACATTTTTTTTAAAAGAGGGAATCTTCATTTTTAACTTAAGAAGCGATAAAAGGAGAGTTACAAAGGAGCAAGGAAAAAGCTGTTTTGTACGACTTTTTCATCTTGGGATGCATGCTACATCCTACATATTTCATTACTTTACAGGGAAAGAAGAAAACTCATGTAGAATTTGGAAACAAATTTAGTTTTGAGTACAAGATTGTCATTAGATGCCTTGAGGTCTTGGGCAAGTCATCTAACTACAAATCTAAATCTTCTGATCTGCAAGACGAGTATGAAAGCATTACCGATTTCACAAGGTTATCAAGAAGAAGAAATGAGGATATTTTGGCGATATTTATAAGCTGTAAAGTATACAAATGCAATTTATCTTGCTGGCAATAGTTTCAAAAGGACATTCAGAATTTCCCTTTTCACCTAAGATGACCAAAGAGAAGTATAAGGAAGGAGTCAGGTAGCCAAGTTTCAATGCTAAACACCTGTTCATTGTCAAAATGACTAGGATCACTCCCCTTACCCCTTGGCAAGTGCAAGAACCCAGCTAAGAGTTAAAGGCTTCTGCCATTGAGGAAAATATATACTGTATTGGATAACAAAATGAGAGCTGCTGATTAAACAGTTCCTATATGGGGGAATAAGGACACATATATAATACCTTAATCAATAAATTACAATAAAAAATTAGTTCCTGCCCTAACTGGTTTGGCTGAGTGGATAGAGCGTCAGCCTGTGGACTCAAGGGTCCCAGCTTCGATTCCGGTCAAAGGCATGTACCTGGGTTGCGGGCACATCCCCAGTAGGGGGTGTGCAGGAGGCAGCTGATCGATGTTTCTCTCTCATCGATGTTTCTAACTCTCTATCCCTCTCCCTTCCTCTCTGTAAAAAAAGTCAATAAAATATACATTTTAAAAATAGTTCTTATAACTTACTACATTGTGACTGAGTAGCATTGGCTATAGGCCTAGCCAAAAGCTAACCTTAATTCAAAACAAATTTAGGAATCAAATAATTCTATTGTCATCTATTTCCCTCAGTGCCGGAAATCACCAAAAAAAAAAAAATGTATTGTGAGCACAATCACTTCTTTTCACATTAAACCAACAACAGGCTGGTGAAAAATTATTTATACAACCTTGAATTGCACTTACATACCTTGTACGTCATTACTGCTTTAAATAGCAAACTCTGTCCTGTTAATTCCATTTCCAAATCTACCAAATAGAGGCGGCATCTTCCATGAAGAATTTAGCACGACAGAGCATTAAAAAGCACAGCCATGTTACAGTGCAGTATAGTGGGGCCTTGACTTACGAGTGTCCCGACTAACGAGTTTTTTGAGATACCAGCTGTCTCTCGGCCGATTTTTTGCATTGAGTTGATAGAGTAATTTGAGTTAAGGAGCTCCTTAACGAGCTCGGTCTCCGAACGAATTAAACTCGTAAGTCAAGGCCCCACTGTAGTAAAGGACAGGAGAATATAATGAATAAACTTCACACCGAAGGCAGTTTATCGGAAATTATCAGTTATGGGGCACACACAAAAAATCCAAACAGGCCAGATGTTCCTTCCGTCGTGATTTCAACTGTCAGTGCTTTCGCAGGCATTTTCCGGGCTAACAACACGGGGAGCGCGTCTGCGGGCCCGCGGGCCTTGCGTACACATGCAGCCCGTCCGCTCTCAGTCGGCGCAGCTCCCGCCTCGTCAGCACCTGCTTCTCAGTACGTGTCACAGGCAGGTTCCTCCCCGCGGAGGCCCCAGGGAACGAGCTCCCCCCGGCAACAGCACTGTCCCTACCGCTCCGTGAAATGGGCGAGGAGAAGGTAATGGGGGATATTTGCGAGATCAGGCGTGAAAACAGAGGCGTCCCAGGAGAGAACAGTTTAGATGAGGCGCTGGCAGCAGCGGTCTCTTTAAATACCTCCCTCGCTTCCCGAGTGGTGTCAAGAGGGAAGTACACGTGGCTCTAAACACCCCCAAACCCAGGGCTGGTTTCTGGCAGCCAGAGCCGCGACCCCACGCCACCGCGGCCGCCCGGGGTTCGAGCCGGGCACTGGCGGCTGGGTCTTCCCGCCCCCGCGTCTACTCAGAGGGGGTCGCGCGCGCCGGAAGGAGCCCGCATCCTTCCGCCGGCCCGGCCCGCTCCAGCGCCCGCCCTGACACTTACTTTTGTTGACGGTCTTGAGAGCGCGCGTGAAGTCACCATTCTGGCCATAACGGTTCACTTCGCTCCAGAGCGCAGGCACCGAAACCCCCCCAGCGCCGCCGCCGCCGCCGCTCGCCATCTTGGAGGAAACGCGGGCGGGACGGGATGACCTCTGCCCCGGAAAAGGATCTCGGAGGCGGCCGGTGGGGGAGGAAGCCAGTGGTTGCTAAGCGGCCAGGGTCGGAAGCGCCTGTATCCGAGTCAGCGTCAGAGACCGTATCTTACTCGGTAGTTGCTAGAAATTCGTGGATAAAGTGGGTACACCTTTCCTGAGTGAGGCATGAGCCGTGGGACCCCGGGAGCGGGTTGAGAACGGGTTACCAGACAGGTTCGGCTCAGAGCACCGTGCATTCCGGCGCTGCCGCTGCGTGCGGAGCCGTGTCCTGATACCGCCATGCCGGAGCTGGGCAGCGATCTATAGAAGATAAATAAAAGGTCTCTGGGGCGTGGTGGGGATAAGGACACATATGTAATACCTTAATCAATAAAGAAATTTAGCCCCAACTGGTTTGGCTCAGTGGATAGAGCGTCGGCCTGCGGACTGAAAGGTCCCAGGTTCCATTCCGGTCAAGGACATGTACCTTGGTTGTGGGCACAGTCCCAGTAGGGGGTGTGCAGGAGGCAGCTGGTCGATGTTTCTAACTCTCTATCCCTCCCTTCCTCTCTGTAAAAAGTCAATAAGATATACTTTTTAAAAAAATTTAAAAAGGCCTATGAGGGTGGTAACATACCAACTAGAAATCATAAAGGGTCGTTTGAAAGAGACGGTTTCTTGCTGCTTGAGAGTATTTCATAGGGGAATTGACATTTGAAGTGGGTTTTGAAAGATAATAGGAAAACCTGGGGTTGGTTCTGAGTAAAGTTTCCGCAGAGAAGGAAATATGGGCAGAGGCACAGAAGAAAGAAATATCCAAGTGCTGAGCACATATGGTGGAACCCTTTGGCTGCCCTTTGGGCTCCAGCTTAGGAGCAGTCGGGTGACAATATCCTGGTTAGTTCCTGGCTCTGATTCACGAGAGCAAGCATGTCAAACTCAAAGGCTACCACGGGCCAAATAAACAAGGTGTAAGTTTATGTGGGCCACAAAAAAAAGCTTCAATTTTCATAGAAACGTAGGTTTTGTTCCATAGAGACATGCTGAATACGAAGGGGTGAAATAAATGAGTCATTGTTAACATAAAATAATAAAACATTTTAATAAAAATTAATGCTTTTTCTTGAGCATTAACTTACCAGACGCTGAATAACTGCACAAATTAGTAAGTGTAACGCAAATAAAATCAGGCAAAATTTATTCATGAAGATGTAAATTTGAAAAGACAATTTGTAGGAATTACTTGTATTATCCAAATATTCTTTGCTTTTTAAAATGAATTGTGGTAAAATTCCATTAAAATAAACGTCCCTATTGCTTTTAATATATATTTCAAATTTTGCTTTATATGCAGTTTTTCGGGCTTATAGATATTTAAAAAATGGTAGTAATTGCAGTGACTTCTGCTGAAAAGATGAGAAGGAATGAGGTGTGCACAACCCTATTTTCTGTGGCACACACCAAACAAGTCAGTCCAAGACTAATGACGTGGAAATCGGCTGCTAAAATATTCACTGCTAGTATTAGTGGAGAGAAATGGTGCACCTGTGCATAAAGTGTGTAAGGGAAATGAATGCAACAGGATTATAGTAATCATTCATTAGCGAAGGTTGTAGTTCATTATTAATAATTGTGTATAACAGGATATTGTAAAAATAAAGTTATGAAATTTTTATTAAAACGTTTCTTGCATACCGTTATATTGGCTGACCCACAAAAATATTTGTTGTGAGTTTGACATGCTTACACTAGAGACTATGAACACGTTACTTAATTTATCAGAGGCCCAATTTTCCTGACTGCAAAATAGGGATAATATATAACTCTTCTGGGGAGAAAAGATAATTCATGCATCCTGGTATAGTCAGCACTCAAGCAACAAGAGACGAGGTTTAGGGGTTTTGTAAGATTAAATAATCAAGGTGTGTTTGAACGTCAGAAGAGAGTACCTATTGAGTACTTGATGAAATGACAGGACATTTTATTGAACTCTTACTCTTTATAGATTCCTATCTTGTCAGGATCCTACTAAATCCTGCCTCTTCCCCTCTCCTCTCTATACCAGCAACCTAGCTAACTACTTTTCATCCTTCAATATTTCTGCATCCTGGTCCCAGGCTTAAACTTACTTCTTTGATCTTCACAGAGCTGTTTCTGAGCGTTGATCAATGTGTAAGGCCCGTCTCTCTCTACATTGACTATAATTTCCATAAAAACAGGAACCATGTTTGCCCACTTGCAGCAGTCTTGCTAGGATCTTTGTAGCACACTGGCTGGTATATCATTGGTCCTCAACTCTTTTGTTTGTTCCTGGTATTCAACTTTTTAACTGAATGAGTTTTTTGCTTCTTATTTCTCCCCTAAGCTGTAAGTTCCTTGGGCAGAAACCATCTCTGGCTCATGGTTTTTTCTGTGATGCCTGGAACATTTCATGTCTGGTCAATATAGTACAATGCAAAAACAGCACAAATGGTGGAGTGAACTCTAGCTCAGGAGGATATAATCTCTGTGAATCAGTAAAAGTCATGGGAAGAGAGGTGGAACTGTCACAGGTTTCAAACCAGTTAGGCCTAGCTTTTAGCGGGGTTAAGGGAGTTCTAGATAATGAAGCATAGTAATCCTTCCTTTGGAAAACTGCTGTTTGAACTACTCTGTTATTCTTAGACAGTCTCTTATTCTGTAGGTCAACTCTGCTATTTTTAGACTGTAAAATAACTTTGTTTTTGTTTTAATAGAAAAGATGAACTTAACTGTCTGACCTTGCAAGCTAGCTATCTAAAGGGGCTGATACAGTGATACTGATATTAATTCACGTATTTGCCAAGTGTTTGTTCATCCAAGGTTACAGGTGTCTGTATAGATATATGGTACTCAAAGTTACAAGTTGTCTGTATAGATATGACAGGTGTTGATTAGATATGATATGTACTCAAGATTACAAGCTGTCTTACACAAAGAACTAGAAGGAAATAAAAAGGAAATACTCCTTCCCGTGTTTGTTCAGAATTTGACAGAGGTAATCTGCTCTGAACCGCGCACAATAAAGATGACTCCTAACTAATTGGCTCATTCAGGCGTCTTGTCCAGTTCGCTGATTTGCGATACACCTTTCCTTCCTCCTTCCCTCCCTGCAGCTTTACTGAGCACCTGTCTGTGCCAGGCTTGGGAGTCCTGAGGCAAAGGTAGCATCCCCAAGACCTCACTGCCTGGTGAGAGCATCACCAAGAAAATGGCTGTGACTGGGATGGGTGGGTGCAAGGGACTCAGGGAAAATTCTCCAGTGGAGTTAAAGCTGGCTGGGACCTGAAGGATGAGGAAGGGCATTCCAGGTGGAGGGCACGGCATGTGCAAAGGCAGGGAGGCAGGAAAGAGCCTGCCTGGTCTGGGAACTGTGGGAGGGCAATGGAGCTCAGGCCCAGGAAATCTGCTGGGTGAGGTTGGAATCCCAGAACCCACTCCCTGGACCCTCTGCCTTCTTGACCTCTTTTGCTCCAGGCTAGGAAGAGGCCCCGGCCCAGCTGCACAAATGGATGCTTTGATATTGGAGAGAGGGAGGAAGGAGGGGCCAGTTGATGTTTTGGGAATCGCTTCTCAGAAATCTGCCCTTCCTCCTCCTCCTCCTCCCACACCATGGCAACCGGGAGGCAGCTGGGGAAGCCACCTATGAGCTGGGCTGAGTTGAGTGGGAGGTGGGTTGGGGGTAGGGACCTCTGCTCTCTTTCTCTGAGCCTCAGTCTTGGCATCTAGAATATGGGCACAGCAACCCAGTTTTGTGGGCTCCTGATAACCCAGGTGCTCCGGGAACCCCAGGCCCAGGCTGAACTCCTTAGGGGAAGGCGGGGCTGGGGAGAGCCCTACTTCATCCTGCAGCTGGGGGCTGGACAAGGCCGTGGGAGTCCCTGAGCCATGTGGCCTGTGCTTCCCACTGCACTGTCACTGTGGAGAAGCCCCAGGGAGCAGGAGACAGGGCTGAGGCACAGACACAGGGATGGATCTTCCTGTGAGCCCCGCAGTGAGGTCTAGGGGGTCTCCTCTGCTGGAGCACAGGGCTCAGCTGTTCCCAGAACCTGGTCAAAGCCCCAAAAGGAGGGCCTATTTCCTGAAGCTGCTGCTCTGATGACCACAGACTGGCCTCATGCAACAGGAACAAATGCTCTCCCCATCTGGGTGCCAGAATCTGAAATCAGGGCGTCCAGTGCTGTGGTCCCTCGGAGGGCTCCAGGGCAGGGTCCTTCCTGCCTCATCAGCTTCTGGTGCTCCTGGCCCCATCCCTTCAGTCTCCCCTCATTTTCACGTGGCCCCTCTTCCATCCTAACGTGACTCCTCCTCCATCTTCAGGTGCCCCCTCCACTTTCCTTACATAACCCCACACTGTGTTCACGTGCCCATTGTACAGGTGAGGCTACTGCAGCACAGAGGGCAAGTGACTTCTTCAAGGGTACACAGCAGTAAAAGGGCAGAGCTAAAAATGGAACCCTGGGCTGCCCAGAGCCTTTCTCCTTTATGTGTGACCTCTGGGTAAGCAGCCCTTCACCCAGTGGCCATTTGCTCTCATGTGCTTCACTCTTCCCCTCACCCCAAGCAGATAGGAGTCCTATTATTGCACCAGTACCTCTGGGCAGCTGCTCTTTGTCCCTCGGTCCTTCCCAGCTGATAACCTAGGCAGAGTCCCACTGCAAATAGGCTGACTTCCCATATTGGCTGTGAGGTGTGGCTCTGCCCCTGTGCCGCCTCGTCCAAGTCCCTCATGCCACCCCACCCCGGTGGCAGCATCTCTCATCCCCTGGAGCCCCATTCAGAGCACAACACCCTCAGCAGCTCAGGGACCTGCTGAGCCCATACCGCAGCCTGTCACTGGTCTTCCAGGTCCTGCCTGCAGCCCCAGGATCATCAAACCAGCCTGAGGGGGGCCGGTTAGTTGACCCCTTAGATAGAGGGGTGCAGACACCAACACTCTGCTCACTAACATCCCCTTAGCCCCGTCCCTCCCCATCTCCACCCCCTCAAGGCCCTGAGCACCCAGTCTGTGTTGACCTCCAGCTCCTGGAGGGCTTGGCCTGCGCAGTGTGGCCAAGAGGGGACCAGTCTGCACAGTGGCAGGCGGAACAGGCCTCCCAGGGCATTTGGCTGCCCACCTGGTCCCGAAGTCGTCCTTCAGCCTCCCACTTACCCCTTGGAAAGGGTAACGTGGCTTGGTTTCCGCCCACCCCTGCTGCCTGCCTTGGGAAGCCGCAGAGGCTGTCGCCACCCGCTGGCCCATTCCTGTTACTGTAGTGTAGCCGGTAAGTCATCCCTGCCGCCCAGCAGTGTCCACCTGGAGCCAGCCCAGCCCATCCTTCCCATTTCACAGGTCAGAACCAGGCCTCAGCGCTTCCCTCAGCCGGGATGGAGCAGAGCTGGATTGGGAATCAGGACGGTCTCTGCAGCTGATGTGTGTGGTGCTCATTCTCACGAACCCAGGAGGCTCCAGGGTCCTCTGTGCATTTGTAACTGTGGCTATGTCGCTGCATCACCCTGCCGAGAGGCTGAGAGTTATCGCTCCAGAGATCTCAAACAACAATCTTTTTAATCGTCCTCAACATAGAATATTAAGGGCACATAATTCCCCCATCTCAGGTAGCTAGGCAAAGCATATCAGATTATGAGGCAGTATGAGGGAAACGAAGTGCAAAACTGTATTTTCTCCTTTGAAGTTTACAATCCAACAGAGAAAGAACTACTTGTAGCTACTGGAGCTAGTGGTCATTAAGGAATGTTTTGTGGAGTTAGTAAAAGAGCAAGTTCCCTACTTAACCTACAGTCCTTGTGTAGACTTCAAGAGAACTGCACCATCAGTGGGATCGGTTGGTAACTTCAGTGTGTATACTTTTCTGGAGGGTAAAAAGCATATTTTCAAAGGAGTCAATGTTGCAAAAGAGATTTAAGGTATGGTGTAAGTCCTTGGACAAACTTCAAAAAGGTTGGGTTGAAAATGAAGTCCTTCTAGGTCACACCATGTGTAGAATTTGACCCGTTCTTGGGGCTTTTGTACAGAGAATGGGTAAACAGGGTAAATCCAATATTTGGTGATGAGTTAGATGTGAAAAGTCAAGAAAAACATTGAGGATGAAATCAAGCTTCTGATTTGGGAGAATGAGTGCAGCCAGTTACAGGGTTGGTGGAAGATGAATTAAGTTTGGAGCATCCAGACAGGGAGAGATGGACAGTTGAATATACAAGTTTACAGACAAAGCTGGAAGTCAATGGATGCTAGTTTTAGCTGGAGCAGTGAAGATGATCCAACCATTATTTGTGAACAAGGGAAAGTCTCAATAGTAGGAAACATCAATGCTTAAGAGGAAAGAGTAATAGAGAAATGATCAAGAGATGTTGGGATATATTGTTGTCTACCCCAGGAAAGGAGTGGTAAGTTAAACACACTCCACCAGAGATTAGGTGAGAGTTGTGTAAGAAATGCCAGTTTGTTAATGTTTGAGAGGCTAAAAGCGTAGACTGTGTAGGTCATTGGTAAGAGTCATACAAAGTGTAAGGGGTTTCATGGACACTTGGATCAAAGTTTAGTGACCTATAAAATCCTCATGGCTGCCCAGCTGGGTGTAGCTCAGCGGTAGAGCGTCGACCTAGGAACCAAGAGGTCACCAGTTCGATTCCCAGTCAGGGCATATACCCAGGTTGCAGGCTTGATCCCCAGTGGGGAGCGTGCAGGAGGCAGCCAATCAACGATTTTCTCTCATCATTGATGTTTCTATCTCTCTCTCTCCCTCTCCCTTCCTCTCTGAAATCAATAAAAATATATTTAAAAAAAAAATCCTCATGGCTGCATAACGTAAGAGTCCCAATCTATATGGTTTATAGATTGATGGTGAACTATGATACCTTTCAGTAACAACTTGCTGGGTACACTGCTCAGATTTATTCTGTTATAAGAAATAAACTAGTTATGGTTATCACCTGGGAGATTCCAATTTTTGAAAATGATGGTACACTGGGGATTACTAGGGTGGCTCAAATATGTTTTATCAGAATTAAAAGAATTTTATGACCCACATAGATTCCCACCATAGCCAAGTAAGATTCACTAAGTTTTTCATTTGGAGGCAAAGGTAGCTCTACTTTTTTTCCATGGCAAATTGCTCTGACGCCCATCAGAAGTTCTCAGAAAAGTTCCCTTTCCATGGCTTTCACATTGCCTCTTCATCTTATTTTGTGTCTTCCCTCCCCTCCCCATCAATCTCAACTTTTCTTCAGAAAAAAAAAAATCAAAATGAAAACAGAACATGTCCATCAATAGCTAAAGATACACACCATTTTCTGAGATACTGACTGCAAATAAAAAACCATGTCCTTAGAATTTTGTAAAGATCAAATTGAGGAAGAGAACTGTATTGCCCTTTATCAGCTATTCTTAATAAAGCCACTTGAACTGTCTAGAACTTATGGGTTGAGATAGAAGTAGTAACTTCAGAGCTCTATAATAGGACATGATTAGCATTTAAGGAATCTATTTGATTGTTATCCACCTAGCAATGACCATATAGTAGGAAAGAGGTTAATTTTAAAATGTCTTTAGGTATGTACATATATTCTACTAATCCATGAATCTAGAGAAGCAATTATTCACTAGTAAGTTTCATTAGAATTAATTTTTTCTATAATTTTGCTATAGTTTTTTTCTATAATTTCTATAAACTAGAAAATTATAGTTTTTCTCCTAAAAAAATGCAACGATGTTCTTTTCTTATAAATTGCCCTCTCGTATTTTCTTGTCAGCCTGCTTCAAGGAAATCCATGTATTCAATATACTTGCTCGCAGTTTGGCCCACACCAAATGGTTGTTTAATCCAAATATCTGAGCAGCAAACTGAGCTGATCCTTCTGGAGAAAGTATGGTTGAACAGCCAAGACCTATTGGTTCAGAAAGGAAAAGACAGAAAATTGAGCTGTCAATTAATACTGAAAGTACTACTTAAGCAAACTATTTTATACTCAGAGAAGTCCTGTTAACCAAGGATAATAAAAACTACTGTATTATTCTTTTTTTTTTTTAATATATTTTTTATTGATTAAGATATTACATATGTGTCCTTGTCCCCACGTTACCCTCTACCCCCCACCCCCCCTGTATTATTCTTATTTCAAGTATTTCTGCAGAAGGAGTTACTATCCTTAATGTTGGGGAGGTGAAGTGATTATAAGAGGAAAGTAATATATATCTGCTACGAGCAGGTATTTTATATGCATTACCTATGACTCTTCTCTCTGAATTCACTGGCAAAGATATCTACCCTTTTCAAAGTTCTTTTCACATACACAATCCCTTTAAATCCTGGTGAAGGACAACAGGAATAAAACAAGGGACAAGAGGGTAGAAACAGCTGTTCTTAGACAAACTTGAGGCATGCTAATTGTTTTAGTAATATCTTAGCTACTCCTTTTGTTTTTATATCCCAAAGATGACACTAAAGAGAATATTAGCATGGCCCCTGCTTAAGGATGATAGGCAAATACGTGAAGCGGAAAAAAAATATTAGATTAACAAGTGAGCATGTTTTAAGAGTAAGAGAAATGGGAGTTTTCAGGATTTTACCCAGGCCACTGAAACACTATTCCTCAAAAGGTAATCCCACAATCCTAGTGATCAGAATGTACAAATCTTCAATTCTCTGTTTTTCCTTGAACAATACTAAATAAAATCTAATTTTTGCACCCTAGCTAGTTTGTCTCAGTGGATAAAGTGTTGGCCCGAGAACTGAAAGGTCCCAGGTTCGATTCCAGTCAAGGGCACAGTGCGGGTGAGCAGGAGACAGCCGATCAATGGTTCTCTCTTCATTGATGATTCTCTCTCTCTCTCTCCATTTCCCTTCCTCTCCGAAATCAATAAAAATACATTTCAAAAAATGTTTAAAAACATCTAATTTTTGCTTACCACATTCCCATGGTTAGCTTATTTAAGCTCCATGGATAATATCTATATTATTTCCTTTAGTATAAATTTGGTTACAATTTCATTTATAGTTATAGTAGATTTCTAACTTGAGAAGTTGGTAGATGTCTAGTTGAAGACCTAGTTAAAGATGGATTAATTATAAGATGTCTCTCAGAAGTTGTGTAAAAAGCAGTAAAGGGAATAAAGAAAATAGACATAAACACAGCTGAAAGGCAAAGGGAGTGGTCACTACTTAGTATACCAAGAAAATTTAATAGTAAACTGGAAGCAGGGAAGGATGAGAAGCAGCCTGATGGAACCCACTGAAAGGTTGAGGAATTAGGGGCACCAGACACATCTGAAGGGAGGAGTGGGGGTGAAAATGGGGCAAAGCAGAAGGAAATCAAGAAGCAGTTTGGCCCCTCAAATTCCCTTCCCCACCCTCTGTACCTAAGCAAGCACCTTCCGGGCCATGGCAATTTTAAATTTTTATGAAGGCAAAACAGACTTGTCCAGACTTCTGTGGACTGGAGGACACCAGGCACAGCTGAGACACGAAACACCATAGTGAAAACGGGACGAAGTTTACAAACATTCAGATCCCCAGCTTCCTAAATGCTAGCAGCCAGGCTTATTTCTCCAAGTAGGAGACTGGGACTAGAAAGGTACTCCGGGTAATTCTGGGCAACACATGAGAAAAGACTGAAAGGCACTGATGTGAGAGGTTATTCAAAGAACAGCCTTACCAGGTCACCCCACAGTGGAGCCCACTTTTGACAAGCCCCACCCATCTGCACAGGGCTTCCAACTGGCTCGTTAGTGTCCCAGTTTTCTACATAGCTGAGGAAAGGAACCAATGTGAAAGACACAATAATCTCAAATAGCTTCCCAGGACTAAAAGAATCAGAATTCCAGAGTAAAAGCCCTCACTAAAAGCCAAGAATGAAAACAGACTCATCAAGACACAATACACATACACAACCTGGGTATATGCCCTGACTGTGAATTTTTAATCTTTGTGAATATAAGAATGGATAGACAAAAGATCCTACAAGTTTCCTAAAAGAAAATTCATAAACAAATGAGAAGACTGGAAAAACATGAACACTAAATAGATGATTTTAAGAAATTACCATTAATTTTTCTTAGGTGTACATAGAGCGTCAAGCTTATGATTTAAAAACTAGTTGTTACCACTTAGGTATATTTAAGTATCTCTACTTATAAAAGGCTAGCCAAAACCGGTTTAGCTCAGTGGATGGAGCGTCGGCCTGCGGACTGAAGGGTCCTGGGTTCGGTTCCTGTCAAGGGCATGTACCTGGGTTGCGGGCACATCCCCAGTGGAAGGTGTGCAGGAGGCAGCTGATCGATGTTTCTCTCTCATTGATGTTTCTAACTCTCTATCTCTCTCCCTTCCTCTCTGTGAAG